ATTCAATTCATCTATCGTAGTACAGAAAATTTTTTCATTGCCATATTTTTTCCTATCATTTGCATAAAATAAATCAACTATGAGAATACTGATTAATTTAGAGGCAAGACCTGGTGGTAGAAAAGGTAGGACTGCATAAAATACTCCTATTTTATTAGTGCCCGCGTGCGGACCTAGAGCGTTGCCGATTTCTACATCGTCGTGGTACCCGAATAAAGGAAGAGCCAAATCATATTCACTTTTAGATTCACTAAAATTCTTTAATTGCTCTTTCCATAACTCTCCTTGTAAAAAATTACTCATAACTGATGACTCATTTAAAGTAGAAATATAAGCTAATATTGCTGGAAACAATCCGTCGATATTCAGCAAGTCGGTTAATGATTTTCTTAAAGAAATGTGAACCATCTTTACCGGTTTTTTTTTCTTAACAACTGTACCATTATCAATTATTACAAAATTTTCTGTCTCTCCAATCGGAACGAAGTCTGCGTCTATATTAAAACCTAAGTCTCTGAATAGTTTTTCACGATTATATTCAGAACTGACATTTTCAAAAGTATCTTCTAGATTGTTGAAAACATGGTTTATTTCCGTTTGTGCTTCGTCACTTACAGCTTCATGTATTGATGAATTTATTTTGTTCATTAATGACGGATTGTAATCGTTTTTTATATAATCTCGAAATGTATTAATAACGAAATCCACGTCGCTTAAAGTGAACCTAGGATTCTCGTATAATTTACTCACTAATCGGCCTACTTCTAAATCTAGATCCATTTTACTAACTTAATGAATAAAATTTAGTTATACTACAGTGCATAAAAGTCGAAAAACGATTAAGTTACTAAAAATTTCTTAATTTTAAAACCTATTTGGTTCTTTGCCTTTTATTCTTCAATTCTTTTATATCTGCATCTAATTCAAGGCACTTGTTTTTCGCAATGACTCTGCGATCTTTTTGATTAAAAATGAGCTGGAAGTACGACCAAACATGAGGGCATCCAACAGGGTATTGAATATCCAAGACGCGCAACGTTTTGTACAAAAAATCGACTGCTTCGGTCGCCGTGGTAAAATCATACACGATATCACCTACAACTGCATGAACGCAAGTTAGAGCATCCAATGGGCCACAGCAAACTACATATGGTTGCGGTTCCTGCACTGAATGTGATTGTAGAAACTTAGAATAGTCATTTTTTATCGTATCCAATAATTCGTGGTCCTGAAATAATATTTACATTAGAGACCGTTGAAAATGATGTACGTATATCAGCGAAATATTTATTTACTTTTATGTGTTGCATAAATGAATCGGTGCTTTTCTCTTTAGTGATTTTCCATGTACCACTGCTCTGGTTGGATCGGAAAGTGTGTTTGATGAGGGCAGGTAAAATGAGAAAAGCCAATGTATCAGCTACTCCTAAAAGAATGACATTTGATGAGATGTTTCAAACGGTTTTGCTTGTGCTCTCTCATACAAAATACAACTCACCATTCCCATCTGTTGAAATTTTT